TCTTATTACGCATAGGCAAAACTGATGAATTTCAACCTAGTTATCAGGCTCTTAATTCAACATACTCTCATTTTCAGTTAGGAGGTACTTTGCAGATAAAGATGATATTGTGCAATTCATACGTAGTGTATCTGTTTCATTTCTTCAGTTATAAATCAAGGCTTGTATCACTACTACAATAATTTACTTGGGTTTTTCATAGCTTGTCGTGAAATGCTTACGTCTTGATCTATCTTATAGGCGCTTCGACCTTATCTTGGTCATCTCCTAAACAATAATCGTACACAAATCACACTACGCATTCTGTTGCAACCACCAGATCAGGTTGGCTATCGGATGGGTGCTTCATGTCAGGAGGTATACACACTGCACAATCAACTGGATTCATCAAACGATCTTGAAAATGCCAGCTGTGAGAATTGTGAAGAAATGTATGCTGACGCATTAGACGACATACTGTTGCCTGTATTATCTTCTTGGACTAGTTGCTTAAAAATTGTCGATGTAAATATAAAGGAAATCGAACGCCGCTCACCGAGTACTTCTAATTCTTGTTATCATTTAAATGAAATAATTCAGATGGAATTTGATTTTTGCATTTTAAACTAAAATTATGTCAGCTAGGAAAGTATGTTAGATATAACGTTTGTATCAAACGCTACAAAACAATCTGTACCCAATTATCCGGATCTTTGCTTCTTTTTGTTCGTTCTAGTTTGTTATTTTGTTTAATTGATCCCTCGATTAGGTGACCTCAATAGTTTACTTTTTTAAGTAGCATAATTTATTTGCTACTCTCCTAAACCAGTGCTCCTTATTTTCTCTGTTTATGTGCATAGTGATTTACGTGTTGACCTCCATTCATTTGTTGTGATAACTTGTATTTGTGAGTCCTGGTTCCTTATTTTTGTTGTTATCTAACTTCGATTTGAATATCCATGAAATAGTTTATTAAGCGAAATTGTAGATTTTTTCCAGTTGTTTCTTGAGGGGAAAGTCGTCTTGCTTTTTTTCGAAAACGCTTTCGGGAGATAAGACACAGCATTCGCTTTTCAAATAAATCCAACATCGAGAACAAAGAATATTTGGTTGCTAAACCTCGATCTTAAGATGAGTAAATAATATAGTTTTCAATAAGATTGAATCATTAGATCAGTTCGGACCATCCTGCATATATACATCTCAGTAGTATATATATAGTTTATTTGAATTATGGCTAATCAAAACGTCGCATCTCGTCAAAATATAACGAAAAATGAGAAAACTTACATTTCTGTTGTCGAATTTCTAAGCAGTGCTTAGTTTCATGTTACCACTATAACACCACTGTACTATGATTACTGTATATCTACATGTCACGCTCATTGCGAATTAGTCACTATTATTATTTGTTCTACTATTTGACCATTCTCAAACATATTCACCATTAATTCCAACTTTTTACACTTATACTTGACCTGTCAACCTCAACCACTTTGTCAGTATATCTTTAATATTTGGATATCTGTTAATCAGGTACTGGAAAATGTCAGTGGAATTTGTTAAAACTCATCGCAAATAGATTTCACAACTTTGACTCAAGTCAACCTGAATTGTCTGTGTATACAAAAATCAGCCAACCGATCGAATCTCGGGTATACTGATTCATAATGATCTTCGCGGCTATCAAGCATCTAAGGACAGCTTAGTTCATTGAGTTCACACCTTATGAAGAGAAAGTTCTCAATTGTTTTCAAACTTTGGCTACCGGACACTAAAGTCGAAGGACTGGAAGTAAATTGGCCTCGGGATGAATAACTACGTCCAAAATCATCTACTTAATGTACCTTATACGGGTATATTGCTGTACGCTGGCTGCTTTTACTAAAGAGAAGTCATCATAGCAAAGCTGGCGAATCAATGGAAACTTGGTGTTCTCGATAAAATTGACGCAGATAACGATTCCCTTGAATATCTTGTGATTAACATAGCAAGTAAATGGTTTTTCTTCCCATGTCACATATTTCCACAAGATGTATCGATTAAATCTATGAACAGGCAAAAATCAAAACAAGGACGCTTATATTGGTTGGAGTAGTGTAATCAGCCTACACATAATGTACAGAACACACGAAACTTAGCTCATTTAGGTGAATGTTATTATATGAAAAAGCACTGATTCAACACTGTTTGTTGTTATAGTGAAGGCTCTTTGTCAATCTGTATTCGCCTGAATACCCTTTTAGTGAATTAACTGCGAGTTGGTCTTCTTGAGATGAGCATTTTAATGAACTTTCTTAGGAGAATACTTAAATCCACACTCATACCTCAGCGATGAAAGTGGGACAATCCTCTCTTGATGTGCTTTGCAGATCCATTCGAAAATAGGCGTGATAGCAGTTTAAGGCCTCCAAATGCCCTAGTACGGCCGAGGGTGGAGAGAGCCTGCTATCCCTCTCTAATTGCTCTCACATGACTACGGGTATATAGCCACTGCCAGAGAAGTCCTACTCACTACCTTCTCGTAGTGGGGTGTTGTTTACGAAATTTGAGAGGACGGAAAGCGAGCGTCCGGCGCTTGAACCGGGTTGGTGGGTACGGAGGACCCACCTAGGGGAGTTAGAAATCCCTGATTCCAAACCAAAGGTGGACATGGACTCCAAGATCATGAGGGAACAACTGGCGTATGAACCCATTCTTGATCACCAGATACCATGGGACGGCACCTGCTAACATTGCTACGCTGTCTTTTGGATTAGACCTCTAGGTCAAAAGTTCGGCGAGAGGTCTCTTGAGAAAACCATATGCTTCGGTTTGGGTGCCTGGAGAGTATCCCGACCCTCACATAAATCGAATGACGGAGTGTAGTGCATATATATTGGCCTTCCTTGTATCAATTTTTTATGTCCAAATAAATAAAATGAACGGGAGTTGAATTACGCTTCTTGGATATTAGTCTCGGATAAACCTTGTAGTGACATTTACTTTCACAGAGTGGAATAATTTGTTTATTTTATTAGTATTAATCAACAAACTCCGCCTGTAGCTCTATAGAGTTCTTGCCAGTCCTAAGCTCAGGTAAAAGTGGAAGGTTGGGCATGCAGTGAGCACCTCGAGAGCCGTTGTACACTAGTCATCAAGAAAATACCTTACACAAAGAATCCCATTGATCCTGTCCAAAGAATCACGAAAACCACTAAACATATCTGTCATCTGCGTCTGCAACATTGGTCAGCATTGTGCGTCGTGGTAATCGATATTCAGGAATACGTAACACGTGACCCATCTCAATCGATGAAGATTTACAATCTCATTAAATTAGAGGGTATTCGTAGGTTACTAGTATTTGATAAGAAAGAAGGATACCTGACCAAGATACCAGAGAAAGGAGATCTGAACAAGTGTGAGAACTACAAAGGCATTACACTACTATCAGTACCAGTAAAAGTTTCAACAGGGTTCTGTTCAATTGAATGAAAAACTCAGTAGACATCCAACATCGAGATCAACAGGCCGAATTTTGTAAGGACCGATCATTCACAGACCAAATAGCAGCAATATGGATCATTTTTGTGCAATCTGTAGAATGAGATTCGGCACTATAGATCAGATTTCTTGACGGCGATGGAGGAACCTTTTGAAACCACCCTTGACACTAGAGGAAGAGTAGCTTAGAAGATCGTCAACATCATATGGAATTCATACGATGGGCTGTATTGTAAAGTCGTGCATGGAGGACAACTGATAGATGCATTCCAAGTGAGGAGCGGTGTCAGACAAGGCTGCTTATTCTCGCGCTTTCTTTCTTCTTGTGGTTGACTGACTGGATTATGAAGACCTACATATCTCAAGAGAAGCACGTAATACAATGGACAGTTTAGATGCAAATAGACGTTTTGGACATCGCAGATGATTCAGGTCTTCTATGTTACACGGCAACAGATGTAGACGAAGACGGCCAATGTTACAGCAACGTCTACAGTAGTAGATCTCAACATTCAAATGTGTGAAAGCAAGATTCCGAAATACAACCAAATCACACGTGATGGAGAAGCACTGGAATAGGTGGATGCTTTCACGCGACTGAGAAGCATAATTGATGGACAAGGAGGATCTGATGTAGATGAGAAGGCACTGATTGGCAAAACATGGGCAGAATTCTTACAACCGGAGAACGTATGGAACTAAAAATAACTCAGTCGGTTACAACGTAGGAACAAGCACATAAGTGCATCGGTCAAAGTTGCTATATCTCATTAGCAGAACAAGTTAAACACCAAATTCATAGAAGTAATTAGTTCATCAGCCAACATGAAAGCAAAAGTTTTCAATACAAAGGTCAAGATAGTCCTATTGTACGGGCCGAAACTTAGAGAACTACTACAACTTTTATCAAAATATATAGGTATTTATAAACAATCGTCTACGCCAGATATTCAATGTCCGTTAGCTGGATACTATCAGCAACAGTCTACTGTAGGAGAGGACAAACCAGATTTGAGATGAAGATCAACTTTGAAAATGGCGCTGGAGGTGGATAGGACATACATTACGAAAATCATCAAACTGTATCACGAGGCGGGCGTTAACTTGGAATCCTGAAGAGAAGAGGAAAAGAGGCAGACCAAGGAACATACTGCGCCGGGAACTGTAAGCAGACATGAAAAGAATGAATGACAACTTGAAAGGACTGCCCAAGACAGAGTTCAATCGAGAATCCTGGCGGGTGATCTACGCTCCTTCACGAGTAAGTCTTTAGTAATTAATTAAGAGCTGATAATTGCAATGAGCAACCAAATTTGTCGACCTGTCCAGTCATTGTTCCTTATACATTTTTTGGAAAGCCCCATGCTATTCTTGGTGTTTTAACTTATTTTGCTATATCAAACTGGATAGCAAGGATAACAGTAAATAAGTGGAGGTAAATTACGCAAGTTACTATTTTTTCCTCAACGGCTTAAAAACTCGGTGTAATGAATGAGGCGAAACTGGTCCTAGACGCACATGATTTGTTTTTTTTTAATTGTCCTTAATCGGTCGCATAGTCTTTTTTCACTGTCTCCATTTCTCATTAAACCCAGGTAATAATCCATTAAATTTAATTCATTACACTCCATACATTTCACCACATTATTATTACATAGTTTAATTCGTTGTTTTTCACACTTTTTAAGTTCACAAATGCAAATGTATAAAAAGTTGACTGGTTAGCTGCAAAATGCTTTATTTCATTGCTCAAATATAATAAACTCAGTTACATTATACAAACATACAAAGGTAGGCTAGGTATCATATCTACTAGTTAGCGACTTATAAATTAGAGCATACTAATTGTATACATCTACTAATTAGTTAGTATTACGATTCACGTTGTGCTTGTGAGTTGTTCAGCGGCGTTAGATATCCCAACAAACGTTATGTGGAATCGAACTTAACTTTGTTCGTAGAGTTTGCGCATTTATATAAGTATTCATGTCTTGCAAAATATCACAGAACTCCATATTTCATAAGACAATTTTTTTTACGAAAACTCTGTTGCCTTGTATATTTCATTTGCATGAAATATGGCTGCTCTCATAAGAATAACATAGTGAGCTAAACCATCGTCTTATGATAAGAGATTATTTTAGACGAATGTACTGCGGCCGTATATTTTTAAGTTTAACAGGGTCACATCAGTGAGCTTGACCAGCTTCATAAAGTGAATTGATTTTTTATTAGTTAAACCTACCAAACAATAGCTATGCTAATGAAAACATTTTAGGGTAATACACCATCTCTAAAAAATCCCTAAAATATCATGATCATCAAGTGCGATAAAATCGACTAGAAGTTGTCTGTGGGGTGAAAAGTTGTTTCGTGGAAAATCGCTTATCGATTTCAGTAATCAACGCCCTTCAGTTGTAGTAACCAGTGAATAGTAATTATCACAAACAATAATCTGCATCTTTAAAGTATGTAATTTTGAAAAATAATCGAAATCATCATCGTAACTAAGTGTAATCCACTTCCTAATTACGATTACGTCTGGAGCAACTTATAAAATGGATTTCAAATTTAATAAGTAGCTGAAAGTGTGTGGAACGAACAGGTAGATGGAAAATCGACACTTAGTGAGGACACATTGTTACGCATTTTTACAATTTTAGTAAAATTTAAACAATATATTGATTATCTGCAATCAGGATTTTTAAATTGCAGTTTTATGTCCAACTGTATGTCGAAATAACTAAATAGGTGTTCCGATTAGCTTTCCTAGTATTTGAAACAAAGTTGGTGAGTGAGACAATAGTTTGACGCAGTGCCGCCTTTTTGCTGCACAGTATCTCATTCAAAGCACCACGTAGCACCGACGTTCATACAAACACTTTACAGGAAAGATGTACAAGCGTAGTCTTTTTTCCATATTCGGCTTTATTTAGGCCCTAATCAGAAGCGTTAAACTACACTAATTTTTAAACAAATAACAACGTCAATACTCCTAATTGGTCTTGTAATACTTAGAGCAAGAACTTAGGGTCATCAGACCCTAATATTGTTCCTTCCACAACTGGTCGAATATTATACCACCCCACTGAGAACGTCCCTAAAATACCTATGAGAGGTTTTATCATCAAACATCTTAACACTGAATATAGCACTGTTACAAACTCACCAGTAAATGACTATGACTAAATGAGAAGAGATTTACTAATCCTCAATAATTGAACATTGTGTTGTAATGCCCGGGACCTCAGGATTTCGATCCCGTATAAAGTCATCACTGTGCACTTCTGATGAGTCCTGGATTTCTTCTGTTTTGTGATTTCCAACTGTTTGTCTATTGATTTTATTCTAAGATGAAAAATACTTCTAAACTGTAAAAATAAAGGAAGATTGAGTACTTAATAAAAGGATTTATATACAAATATACACACTTATCTGAATATCGATGATAATAAACTATTGGTATTTACACACAATTTTCTCTATGGAATGGATAGAAATGCTAAATAAACATTGTATACATGTTCAAAGTGTTAATGCTTGAAAAAAAATATTTGGAACAGGCACGTCAGTATTCATAACATGAGAATCATATATTTGTGGGGAAAAGTTATAGGATGTACATCACGAAGTTAGCGTATTACATTGGCTATCTGTATTTGGTCGCGATGGGATAATGACTTTGAGTTCCAAACCTCGAGTGGGAGACGAACCTTTGGTATCCGGTGAGTTTGATCTATTTGGCGGAGATAAACTGTCTAAAATCTGATGCACAGAACTAGAGTCTTCAATGCCCTCAGCTTCAATAGTATACGTGCAGTTTCCTGGTTCAGGTTTCATTTGTAACTGAAATTGGTTAAGAGAAATAGATGTTGGCAGAAGCGATGTATTAGATGAATTAGTTGTATGTTGTACCGTAAAATCAGTGCGACAGCTCGAACTGTTGAACGGTCCTGGAGACTGACCTAAACCTTCTCCAATAAAAGACTCATTAAGCGCATTAGCCGACTTGAGTAAGTTCTGAGTTTGTTGGGTGACCGCAGCCTGCAATCCTGATAACGTTTGACCCCGATAATGAAAATGTGTTTTTAAGTGCGATAATACATTACTCAAAACTGGATACCTGTTGCGGGCTATGGAAAAGCGTACGGCTGATGTGCGCTCACGTTTCTCTCTGCAGAGATGACAATAAAATATACCAGTAACACGTTTAAAACCCTCAGGAGTCACTGACAATTCCATTTCCATATCAAAATCTCGACCACGCATAAGGTAAGCGTTAACAAACTGTCGTGATGCTAACCTGATTGCACTAGCTGAAGAATGCTGTTTCAAGCGCTCCAAATTGACTCCTTCATTCTCAAATAATCCATTTCCGTATCCGACTGGAGAGGAACTGATCAAAAAGTTAGAATGAGATGGTATAGCATTTGATGTGATGGCGACAGAAGGCATATTTGACACTGGAATCGTATTACGTGATGAAACAGGAGAGATGCTAGTTCCTGGATGAAGCACAGGATTTGTATCACCAGAGTTACAGCTACTTAAACCAGAGAGTGTCGTTAAACTGTTTTCATCGGGTAAGGAATTAGAAAACAAAGTGATATTATTGTATCCATTTCCACTCACAGCAGCTGCGGCAGCTTGGAGAGCAGCAGCCATGATCACTGCTGGTCCGTCAGAAGGTGGAACACTTGGTTCTGACCTACGTGAGGGATTCGGGGAATCTGAAAAGTAGGTTTTCGACGTCAAATTTACCACCGATGTTGGAGATGTTGAATCCGAATTTTCCACAAAGTTGCTTGGTAATGGGTCAGCCAAGATAACAGGCGGTGAAGATGTTGAAGAAATTAAGTGAGACAATGAAGAATCTGTTTGACAACCTATATCACTGAAGCTCTGATCACATGAGTCTGGGACAATTATGAAATCCTCATCAATAGGATTTTGACCCTCTATCGATAACTGAGATCGACGATACCTCCGACGAATTTCGTGTGCAGCCAAAAGAATTCCACAAGCAGCACCTGAGGGTAGTTTAAACTTTAATGGATCATTTGCAAAAATGGGCCCTACGAAATGCTCTCGTAAGGTAATTGACTTCATAATCGAACAAGCATGTCCAACAAACGTCTCAAGCCTCTGTAACTGATGATCATCTAGTCGGGCGACAACATACGGTGTACAAAAGCCTGCCAGTTCAAGACAATGAACTACATATTCCGAGCAGACATAACGTGAGATTAAGTCACGGAATTCCGGATCGAGTTTAGCGAGCTTTAGCGAATCGACGGATTTTTCACCAAAAGTTGAATCACTACGCAGAAAATGTTCAGGATTGCAACTAAGAAGTACATTTTCCTCGTCTGCCGACTCTACAATGTCAACATGATCTTTTAACGATGGAAATTCATATTCTCCATATGTGGGTGCTTCTATATGATTAACTGCATGCACAGGCCCCGATAATGATGATATATGCGACCGCTTGCGACGATGATGTACAGATACTGAAGTACTTGATATATGAATATCCTTTGGTTGGATACTGTTATGTCCATGTTTTTGTTCGTTGTTGATCATATCAGTGTTTAAAGTTTCGTTAACGATGAGGTTCGGTGTCCCAGACGACTGTTCCATATTTGCTTGAACTTTGGAATTTATCCAACGAAAGTCTGTTACAAATATTCCATAGAAGTAGTAAGCCACGTTGCTATTTATGTAACTACAATAAAATGAAGAAAGTCATTTGTACTAAAATTATTGAAATGCTTGGTTTTACGTCTGAGTCAGTTTAATACTTTGAAATGAGAGTTGTGCGAATTTACATACAAGAATGACTTTGACGGGGAACAAACGGTGTACAAACCTATTTCAATCACCGACTACGCAATGATTGTGTCTTGGTGTTGTTTCACTGCTTTGTGCAGTAGACCTTGCAAAGAAGAGTAGAAAGTGATTCTCTGAGAAAATACCCTGCTTTGGATAGGGCCTCCAGGTGTTCGCAGTTCTCAGATAATGAGGGAAGAGCATGAATGACTAAAATACATCTTACATTAATTTCAATATTTGAACTACTAAGCAACTCCACTAAATTGAAGATTTTATTTTGTCCAAGGGGTTTTAGTTTGCTAAACAATTAATCACATGTTTTTTTTAATGAGTATCTCATAAGAATAGTTTTTTTCATGTAAAGTCACTACCATCAATGTTTGAAACTTAATGTGGGCGGATTTATCTCCACAGAACGAACTACTAGTAGTGGATTGTTATAGTTTAGAGACCTATCCTCAAAACTATGGTGAAAAACTACAAGTTTGTTATCTATACATCGATTTGAAAAGCGTGCCCCACATATGATTATCCTGGACTCAGTGCTGAGATTGGTTAGTCACTGAGCGCCAGAGCATGAGCAGCACCTACCTATTTTGTTCTCATTACGTGGCTTATTTGGTGTGAACTTGAGAAACTTGAGGAAAACTATCCTTTGTAATCCCCACTACATTATCAGATTAGAGTCTGAATACGGTAACTATGGGTCCTATTATGGTCGAATGATCCATTTGTATTGGTTACTTGGAGTTTCCCAATGATGCGTAGGACTGCAATTAGTCCGTTTTCTTTAGGTATATGTGGATCCTGTGAGAATCGCCTCAATATGTGTTAGCGGGACATAGACTAGACTAAAGCATGCTCAATGCATGATTGCTTTGGTGCACGCTGATTGGTTAATTCTTATCCAATCAGCGCTAGTCGATAGTTGGAGAATATTCTGGATTCTTCTTATGTAAAAACTATAAATATACCGACGTTTTCCCCTATTGTGCTTCCTACTGGCTTCTGACTTGCTATTTGGAATATAATCTTTTTCCTGTTCAACCGTGTTCTGATTTGGGGACTTGTCGAGTGAATCGGTGTCCGAGAATACTAAGCAATAGGAATAGCTGGGTCATTAACCGTAAGAAACCAGAGATTATAACAGTGGCGACGGGGAAAAACTAAAGAAAAATGGCGATTTCTTTAAAACAGTTGCGGTTAATATTACAGCACCAGCAGAAGTTGTTAGCCTTGCAACAACAACTATTGAACACACTTTTCACTCGACCAGAAAATAAGAAATCTGTTTATGATGCAGTAACAGACATTTCAGAAGCATATCTAGTGGAGGGTTCAAATCCCTTTATACCTGAATCAGAACGTAATATTTGTAACGTGTCCGGCTCACAGCAAGAAAATACTGTGCTGAATGCACATGAAGTTGTGACAATACCAGATGATCAGGAGCCAGATCCTGTAGATGAAGCCCGGAGTCCAGAATCAAATGAAACACTACTGGTACTGTCTAGCTGCGAAAATAAACGTCAGCTCGAACAAAATTGTGGTCCACGTGCTATTAGTCGAGAAAGCTATGGTGACTCGTATTCAGAAAATAACTGGAGCAACACGATGAACCAAATTGTACCAGATGTTACTCAAAATCACCGGAAGACAGAATTTTATATTAAGTCAACTTATCCCATTTCTAATGACAGTGTACCAGATATTGATTGTCAGAATAATGCATATGATTTTGATGAACCTTCTTATAACAATGAGGGAAATATGTCAGCTGAGTCGAATGATGGCCAAAAATCTAATCTAATTCTGTTAGACGTTGACTTTCTTAATGACTCGTTATCTGCTAACGAGATTCATAATGAATTTGAAAATAATGAACTCAGATCAAAGGTTGTTCATCATCATCTAGTCATTTTTAGTGGATTCTCCAGTCAATACGAGAAACATGGTTTAAATAAAGTCCTACTAGTTATAATTTGGAGCCATAAGGACCCAACATTATTTCGAGGAGGAGGAGAATGTTGGAGAATTAAAAGTTATGCATACTTTTTTTTAAGAAAAATCAAAACGCCGGGAACAGACATGTCAGTCTCTGTGCAAGGAAAAAGTGATAATTCTTCATTGCCTAGACGATAGACTAATCGAAAGCACAAGCTATTCACTCAGTTGCAGTTGGACCCTAGCACCAGATCCTACGAATCTGCTCAGAGGGGAGGTGTTAGCGGGACATAGACTAGACTAAAGCATGCTCAATGCATGATTGCTTTGGTGCACGCTGATTGGTTAATTCTTATCCAATCAGCGCTAGTCGATAGTTGGAGAATATTCTGGATTCTTCTTATGTAAAAACTATAAATATACCGACGTTTTCCCCTATTGTGCTTCCTACTGGCTTCTGACTTGCTATTTGGAATATAATCTTTTTCCTGTTCAACCGTGTTCTGATTTGGGGACTTGTCGAGTGAATCGGTGTCCGAGAATACTAAGCAATAGGAATAGCTGGGTCATTAACCGTAAGAAACCAGAGATTATAACAATATGGCTACTAAGTTACAAGCACTTGAAGCAGAGATGGACGGCAGCTAGCAGTGGGACCTAGGATATGGGTTTCATTTTGTTTAGGACTCGTGAGCTGGGTGTACCCGTATCCCTGAGTCGATGTCCACTTCGGGACTCAAACCCAGTACTGTTCGCTTCGAACGCCATCGCGTTATGCACTCAGATTTATGGATAGGGTACAGATTTAACAAACTTTATCTGGCTGACAACGGTTTTGGAAAAATTAACCTTCTATTTAAGGGATATTACTGAGTTCAAGACTTCATAGGCACCAATCAAATAGTCACAAAACAGCTTTGAGATTAATCCACAAAAATACAAAACAGTACGCTGGAGGTAATATATAGGACAAATTCCGGAGACCATAATTTATAGACGAAGCAATTAATCTAAAGATTTCGGGGAGAAATATACTTATCCACATGGCTAAATAGAATTTTTACATTATATCTAATGTCAATTGGTGATGAAAACCCCAACTCTTATTTCTAACCCCAACATTTAGATTCCGATCCTATTACCTCAAGCCAATCCATAACCCTCTTTATAGCCCTAGGGAGTTTGTCACTCTGGCATCCCTCATAGTTTATCTAAACATTATAATCTCGCCCGAATTTCTCTATTCATACTAATAATAAATTAACAATTACATAAACTTAGTGATCAAAATTGCTGGAGTACTATCATTTTCAGTGACTGGAGTATAAACCACAAATCAATGTGTCAATGGTGAGTCTGAAAGCCAGTTCCATGTAGTCTAGAGAATCTTTATAGTGTCTAAAAATAAAGGACTGCTTGCTAACAAGCACTTGCCTACAATTGCTAGCGTGAATTAATGGTCTACATATCGCATGTCAGTTATTAGTCTCCTCATAAACTATGATTCTATCGTCTGCGAATGTCTTCAATCAGATATAGCTTTTTCAATAAAGTCACTTGCAGTCAACATTTCCGTGGAATTTGTGTAAATGGATGAGAAGGTTGGTAATCCTGGTAAATCTAAGTGATAAGTAAACAACTAGCTGTAAATTCAGCTAAAATTCAAACTCGGCTGCAAAAATTGGGAATGTCGCATTATCTCCTCAAGGGAGGCAAAAAAAGAGACTTTTTGTCGCGTTACTCCTTTACTTTCCTGTGGGAAAGGCACTTTTATTTGCCCTTATTTGTTTGCTTGTGAGTTTATGGAGGTGTTTTACAAATCAATTACTAGTCTTATGAAAAACGTGAAACGAACGTCATATATAAAAGTAGGTAGTACAAATACAACATTTAGGTACTTAAAGTACAACGACTAACCACTAAGTCTCTGGTCAAATCCACAACCTCTAGGTCGACCCTTGGCGATTTCCAGTGTCCAATATCTTCGTGATGAGGTAACATACAAATATTATTTGTTCTCAAACATCAACATCTGATAATGTTAGCACACCTTAGGAAGATTGAAAATTCCAGCAATTTTGGAAAATTTGAAGCTCATCATGTACAAATAAAGCAAGATAATAGAAGAGAAGGAAATCAATGAGTGAAATAGTGAATTGTTCTGCGAAGTCAACCAGAGTTGTGCCCTAAGGAATGCAGTCTATGAGTATGAAGTAATGATCTGTTTAAGACTTCCGAAACAAGAGAACTTTTTATGGATGCAGGGAACTCTAGGTAAGCTGACAGTGAAATCCAAGACATCATCAACATTTGGGAGTGGAGAGATTCCTACCTATCTTTCATTCATAGAAGACTAAATATAAGTCATATAGGAGTGCTTAGTTATTTCAATAGATTAAAAAGTTAGTGTGGGTTCATTCAATAATGCCTTGAGGGTCTTGAACGTAGTGTACAAATTGATTTTTCAAATTTTTTGAGGAACAATGGAAATATTATATGCTCTACGCTCAAGACAAATAAAAACGAAGCGTTTGATTGTCTTGAGAAAGATTCGAAAGCACAGTTCATAGCCCTTAATATGAAACATCTCGTGTCAAAGTGAGGTATTAGATATCGTAGATGACAGAGTTTACCGCACTACATAAATTTTTATCTTGACTTAAGCGGCGCAGTTATGGTGTTGAGGACGGATAATAATTTCTTTTTTCATAATTCTGTACTTGATTTCAGTTACGGAAAACCATACATTCCAGCACACTCAGTGGTTTCTGGAGGACTTAAGTACTGTTTCATGAGTTACTTTAGAAGCACGGGTTTGTTATGAGAAATGCTATTGCACTAAGACACTGGTATTCCTCACTAAATTGTTGTTCAGGCTAAATGTGCCGCAGACACAACAAAAACGCAGTTTGTATCCGAATACAAGGCTTATTTATCACTTAATATATTTAATGTCTCCATTATGAGCTAGTAGCTTTAGGGAGGGCTTGCTTCATAACGTAAAGTTGTTGTCACGATCTTTTCATTATCGTCCACTCTTAGCTTAGCCTCACAAATACAGAAGACCAAGTTTCAAGAAGTTGGACTGCCGGATTTCCTTTGGGACATATATCTTCCTATCCCTCCATACTCTTACCTTCACTGTCTTCACATGTTTGGCATTTTGCTTGAGCTAATATTTATTCAGTGACAAAGAGGAGGTGAAACAGGCTTGTCGATTAAGAATAGTAGAATATTACATAGAAAGTCAGAAACACATAAGGTGATGAGATGACCTAAAGTGCAAGTTAAGATAGAATATGGTTTGAAAATGACGAACAGAAGAAAGTAGTGGTAGTGGATTGGTAGCGAAACAAGTTTAAAATATCCAACTTACTATAATTTATTATTGAGAATGTCATCCTTGATACTGAACCCAAATATCTGTATATTGCTTAAGCTTTAAACTTGATTTCTTTGTCATTTTAACCATGAACTACTAGTCCCTATCTTGTCTTGATCTAGTACTTGCAATTATCTTCTGGTAGGCTATATATTGAAGGTTTCTCACGAAAATTGTCATTCTGTTATTGGGGCTATCTGCAGTGATAATTTTCAATTCAAGATCAAAATTTGAATATTCGGAACTTGAGACTTTGATTTTTTCATCAATTGGCCACATGTTGAGAACCTCTTCAAAAAAATACCGAAGTACAAATTTTAGATACAACACTAACGATATAAAAATCATGACAAAATCGGTTGCTGCTATTATAAAAGAAAGGTAAGGCGAGCAGTGAACTGAGAAGTGTTTAGACGATCACAAGAAAACTGTAGTATTATCACAAATCCTGAAATACATTTGGGAGCGGTAGCCGCATGTGAAATTTCTTCAAGTTGAGTCCCAAACTAACTTTTGTTAACTGGACATGCTCAATGCACGATTGCGTTGGTGTATGTTGATTAGCTGATTCTTAACCAGTCGGCGCTAGTCGATACCTGGAGAACACTCTAGAATCTCATGCAAAAACTATAAATATGCTAACGTCTTTCCCATTGTGCTTCTTACTTTCATCTAACTTTGTTATTTGAAATACAATCTTTTTCTTATTCAACCGTGTTCTGATTTGGGGACTTGTCGAGTGAAATGATGTCCGAGCGTACCAAGCAATAGGAATACCTGGGTTGTAATAAGAGAGGAATATAACGAGGTTTGCACTCTCATTGGTTGTCATCGTCCTTAGTTCGTTAAAGTTCTGTGATCTTGGAAATCATATTTTGCCGATATAGTTTTGCAAACTCGTTTTGTTCTGCTTATCCTACCTCGAATATCGAGTTTTCTCTAGTCCGTCTTCTTCTTTTGTTGGCCGTCTCGTTTCGATGTGTTTCGATCAAATAATCGTGATTGGTTTCAGGGGGGAATGGTCGTATTAGAGTATCTCAATCACATTGTGGCTAGATCTGTAAAATTTTTAGGTTCGTGTTGAACGTTAGTAACAAAATATAACAATTGGCCACGGGGATGGTAAAAAAGGTGTTTCTAATAAGTTTGAACGCCTTTTGGAACAACAACACAAAATAATTTAAATGTTATCTAATCCTCAAACCACTAAAAACACAATTATACAAAACTCCGTGCCCAGATATTTGCTTAGTATTAAAGTAAATAATGCATCCGAGTTTAGTTTTGACTCATCATCAAACGTTACTGTTGACACGTTGTTTTGTCTTTACGAAGATATTTAATGTTGATTTCTCAGATCAAGAGGACTTTTAAAAAGTACGTATTCTTTTACGGAAACTCGGCGCAGCAGAAAAGTGATAAGTATTGCAACACTACACATATCCAAAGTCCATGTGGAAGAACTTTTGCAGATAGTATCTCCCCACTTAGTCAGCTGTTTGGCAGTCAGTCCACAATTTTTAATTCCCGTTATCGATACGTGAAGCTAGTGATGAATGAAAAGGATGATTGTTCACACATGTTGAAGTAGTGAATCGAGTTTTAGCGACTCAAATTGAAATCACCACCAATAAAGGACTGATAGAGACTTACTCAGTTACTGAGGCCTGTGGTTTTTACTTTTACGAAACACAGTGTACAACAAGTTGTTTTATCTTTATTATACTCCTTTCAGGTATATCTATGTATACTCGGTATATTTTTATTCTATATAACAGGATTCCGGCCTTGAAGATTCGAAACACGTATGATCATATATCCATTTAACTATATGACTGGACCAAAATCTAGCACTTTCAAAACATATATAGTTACACATATTGGAGAACCATACTTAAAAGTTTACGTACTGCCCTTTAAATTGTGTTTCGACGCTATGATCACATACGTTCAGGGGTTATTTGTTGAATTCCAACCTCAGCCTTACACTTTCAAAAATACATATTAACACATGATGTAGCATTATACTATAGAAGTTTTAGGCCATTTTATATACTATCCCTTATATTGTATTCGGGTACTATAACTCAGTTTTTGTAATCATCTGTTCAACTCGTTGATTTCCTCAACATTTTTGGTGAATGATTTGCCTTGAAAACTGTTGCGTAGGATGTATCACATTAATTCTAGATGGAAATAATTTTCGTCAGGACTACATGCCGTTATACTCTGAAATTTCATTTAACGTAGGCTTCCAGCATATATATATATATATATATATATATATATATATATATATATATATATACGTATATATATATATACCACACTACTTTCCATCGCTTTATCTTGAATTCAGACAGTTTAATATTTCCTTGGTATATTTGTAGTGGCATTGGACAATAACCACACAATCCTCAAAGCTGAACACGAGACAACTCGGAAAATAGATATTCAATATTTAACGCGGAGAAATACCTAACGATGGAGAAGGAGGGAAGAATGTATCGAATGAATTGAAGTTGATCGAGTGACATGGCTCGACCATGCAGGCGTGGTTCCTACTGAATGTTACCTTATATCTTCTATTCATATTAAAAATGTTGTTCTTTCTCTAGCCTAACCTTGTTCTACATTATGTATTGGTAATTGATACGATGTGATAAGTTGTTGTAGACGATGATGTGACTTCCACGCAAGATCTTATAGATTAGGCAGTTATATCATGACAAATCTACAAATTTAGGATTAGGTCTATTATTAGAGCAGTACTAGTATCATAGTAGACCATAATTCTACATATTAACCAATATCTCCAACACGATTTCCACACGTTTAATCGATTCATGCTACCAGATCCATTTGGAAAGAGACAAGCTCATGGTACTTTTCGACATTCCATACATGTTTAGTGCTTTTTAGCTGACATTCATGACAAGTTTCACTGAAACTCTAAGGATGACATTGGAAATTTGCAAGTGGACACGAACATCTTTAATCCGCTTAAGTATCAACTTCAACCTCACCGATATATATATCAGATGAACGGTGCAAATAATTTTCTGTATTGTGTTACTCAGACATGTTTGAAAGAATGATATATTTTGTAATGCAGTTGCATTTGATATACAGTATAGAGATGCTCTAAAAATATCAAGTCTGAGCTTCTTAAAGCCAATAGTGTGACAAGCGCAACACGTGTTTAGACAAGACTAATGTAGGTCACCCCGATATTCCTTCACATAAGAAATTCAAATCCAACACATCTGGACTCTTCAGATTCGATCATTCAAAAACAGATGGAATGTTGATATTCTTCCAGATGGAACTCTGCATCAACAAAAGGGTAGAAAAACCAGTTCAAGACCAGTGGCATCAAGGTATCAAACGCCCTCTAATCCCAAAAGTCATAAAATAAATTTTAATACATAGACTTGATAGTCTTCTTCGTCCACCTCTTAAGATCACCACTATGACTAAACCAGATGTTAAAATCAACAACGATCAAGATAAATTTATGCAGTTCCGTTGGCTTCTCGGCCAATAACGGTAAACACATTACTAATGATAACATAATCACAACTCAAT